ATATACTGCATCCATGTGACCCTTCCTCGGATTATGCATACAACAACTCACCACACTTATTGTAAATGATATGTCAAAACGAGTGTGAATCAAATAGAATAGATGACCTACCAACCTCTAGTACCTCTCACGATCAACTGACTCTCCTGTCTTTGCGCCAACATTCACTTCTGATCAATTAGTGAAACTACAAGGTTGTATCCCAATATGCTTTGAGCAAGTCTAGCACATACTTCTTTCGAGATAGAACAATCTCCTCTGCTCCACGAGGCACCTCAATTTCGAGGAAGTATCTAAGTTGTTCTAGGTCCTTCACCTCAAACTCTCTGCCCTAATTTGCCTTCAACTGAACAATCTATCCCTCATCATCCCAGCGAAAATCATATCATCCACATAAAGAATAAGAATAGTAATGTGGTCATCATGTCGTCGAAAGAACACTGTGTGATCAACATTGATCTGTTGATAACCCATGTCAATCATTATTTTTCTGAATCTATCAAATCAAGCTTGAAGAGACTGTTTCAAACTATACAGTAACTTTCTCAATCTACATACATTGGCCACTATTTAGTTTGTTTCGAAGCCTAGGGGAACATCTCGATCAGATCCCCATGAAGAAACACATTCTTCACATCCAGTTGATGTAAACTTCATCCACCATTCACAGTTAAATAGACAAGTGTCTTGATTGTGCTCATCTTTGCCAATGGTGCAAATGTCTCATCATAATCGATGACATACGTCAGTCTATACCCTTGCTTTGTAGAGATCAATCTTTTCTTCTGAGGTCTGCTTCACTGTGAAGACACATACGCATCTAACTGCCATTCACTACTGGTAGCAACACAAGTTCTCACGTCCTGTTCTTATCGAGAGCACCAGGTTCCTCTAACATTGCACCCTACTACTTTGGATGCTCACTTGGGTATAGAGACAATGTCCAAAGATGAAATATTTTTTTCATGTAAATGTGATATGTTAGAGTATGAGACAAGCTGAACAATGTCATGTGAGAAACCAAAACGATCAGGAGAATAGCGATTAGGAGGATGACCCACATTGCTGCGAGAGGTCCTCCTTAAAGTTATGGGAGTGGGAGGAGAAGAGACGGAATCATATCCTCTGTGTAATCGAATTATGATGTGGATGGTGTAGGTGTCTCAGGAGTCGGGTTAGATCGAGACAAGAGACTTGTTGACATGAGTGGCACAATAGACATTGTTCCCTCATTCTGCCTTTTTTCTCCTTATATACACCCTCTTGAGTCCCACAGCTTTCGGACACATTTTTCTCATTTTCCAAGTCTTCCTCGGTCGATCTTTCCCACACAATGGAAGAAGGCATCATTCCCACCTATACCAATCTCTCCCATCACTACTCTCCTACTCTTGCCTCATAACTCCAACATTTGATAAGTCACCAAAGGGTGCAGTCACCTCCAAGGTGTAATACAGTTAGAATTCTCTAAAAGTTACATCCATACTCACAAACAATCTCTTCTCTATAAAACTCCAACAAGCATATTCCTCTGAATGGCAGATTAACCCACAAAAAATATACTACACAACTCTGGGATCTAGCTCTCCCATACTACTCTCCTACTCTCGCCTCATACCCCCAACATCTGACAAGTCACCAAAGGGTGCGATAACCTCCAAGGTGTAGTACGGTTAGAATTCTCTAAAAGTTACATCCAAACTCACAAACAACATCTTCTCTATAAGGCTCCAACAAACATACGCCTTCTGAATGACAGATTAAACCACAAAAAATATACTTCACAACTTTGGGATCTAGCTTCCGAATTGAACATTTATTATCCTTCACAAAACATACACAACTGAATGCCTTCAATGAGAGGATCCCACCATTATCTCCTTTCAACAATTCACAAGAAGATTGTCACTCCAACACTCTTGAGAGCATTCTATTGATCAATTGAGCGGCTGTTAAAATAGTTTGCCCCACAAATGCTTTGGGACATTCATCGAAATCATCATGCTTCTGAATTACCTCTAGAAGGTGTCTATTCTTCCTCTGCTACTCCATTTTGTGTCGGTGTGTATGGACAATGGTTTGATGCTGTATCCCTTGGGCTGATAGGCACTCCTCAAACGTTTTGCTGGCATAGTCTATCCCGTTATCAGACCTCAATATCTTCACTATTACACCATATTGAGGAATAGCCCTGTGAAAATCTTTAAAGCAAGCACGTCAATTTTGTTTCTCATCAGATATAAAAAGAAACATGAGAAAAACAATCAATGAAAGTCACAAAATATATGTAATTATTCATTGGAGTTGTTGAAAAAGTCCTCATATATCTAAGTTCACCAAACAAACACAAGAACTTCTATTACCAGTACTAACATAAGAACTCCTAGTGTGCTCACCAAATTGATAGACATCACGCACAAGTTTTTGTTTATTTGTCTTTTCATATAAAAACGGATACAAACGACTCAACATACTAAATGAAGAGTATCCCATATGCTTGTGATGTAGCAGCAACACATCCTCCACACTCCTTCCAGATTCTCCTATTTCAACACTACCTCCATGGATGTCAAGGCTGCGTCCATCCCCTATTTATCCAAGTACTAGTCTACTATGCCACGTGCCGGTCCCAAGTCTTCGATCAGATCACCTTAGAAATATTAAAAAAACAACATATTTTAATTAGAGTATAATGAAATTAATGGATAAAAGGTTTACTCAAAAGAAATAAGCATGCAAAATATTCAGTCATAAAACTGGTACACCTCACTGCATTATTACCAACCATATGTGTTGTACCATCGATGGTCTGAATGCTCTCTAGAACTGCTATGTGAGTATATGAAGAGAACTCACCAGCAACACTTGTCACATGTCGAGATGCACTAAAATCTACTATCAATTCTAGTGATCTTGTGGTGGATATAAAAGTATAAGCATGTGTACCACGAGTATCTTTGGCTGAGTGGGCATAAGTAGCAGTATTACCCTTGGATAATGAAAAGGTGGATGCATCTTCAGTCACATCGCAGGTCGCTCTCTGTTTCCTCCTCAATATCTCTAAAAGTTTGTGATCCTCATCGATAAAGACCATCCATGTCTCTCCATCGTTCTCCGCTACCATTAGATTCATCCGGTGGCCCCCTCTTCCACCCCTTTGGACCTCACGATTACTACCACAACTTTTAAACTGTTCAAGATCATCTGTCTCTCTCTCCTTGAGTGGAGATGATCCCTCTCTCCTTGAGTGGCTTTGGACAAACTTTGCTTAGGTGTCTCACTTCTCCATAGTTGTAGCACCTACGTGTCTGCCTCTGAACACCATATCATACCTGAGCTCGAGGCAGCCAAAGCTGATCGTGTGCTTGAAATCCCACTTAGCACAGAGTGTAGCCTCATGCGACTCTCTTCTTGCAACATAGCAACAATGGCCTCATCCAGTGAAGGAATCGTTGCACGGACTAGGAGGAATGGTCGAATTTAGATGAGCAAAAAACTGCATAATCATCATCTGTGCAATGCTCTCCCTTGCACCCCGGATCATTAAAGTTTGATAGAGGTGAGAAGTGATCAAAATCTTGACACAAACACTTCAACTACATAGGTTCCAGATTCTCCTATTTCAACACTACCTCCATGGAGAAGGCTGCGTCCATAGGGGATGTGAGTCTCCAAGGGAAGATGCTGTTTAATAGAGGTGAGAAGCTGCATTAAAGTTTGATAGAGGTGAGATGTTGTGTGGTCCTCCATTAAACTTTAAAGAATGACACAAAACTGCATTAAAGCTTCTCACCTCTATTAAAGAATGACAGATTAAAACTGCAAAATCATCATCTGTGCAAAGCTCTCCCTTGCACCCCGATAGAGGTGAGAAGTGTCAAAATCTTGACACAAACGCTTCAGCTACATAGACTGCTCCTGAACCACTCGAGCTCCATAGACTGCTC